TATAATAATACTGAACTTTCTTTATTTTCAAATCCAAAAAGAGTTTGACGAAGCTGCAGAAAGGAGATTCAGAAGATTAGGAAGAAAATAATATTATTTTTGATGATGACTCAACATTCAACAAACATTTGAGTTGATATTATTTGCTATTGAATTTCTGAAATCGGAGATATTAGGCTTGCTTTAAGGTGTAAGGTGGAAATTTTTCTTATCGCACTCCGGATATTGGTGGTTTAAATACAACATTAAACTTTGAATTGCCGTAAAGACAACCAACAATTCACTGTTTATCAATATGTTTCAAGTGTTCGTATTTTCAAAAGGGGCTGAAATAACTGAACATGTAAATAATCATGTTTCATCGACCCACTGATTGACCCTGACGGATCTACATACATTACTGCAGCACCTTGTTATACAGGTTTCGCTATGTGGACATAGACCTCTTCCTCCGATTCATCTAGGTATATGAGGATTGAGGAATAAAGTTTACAACCGTTTACAAGAAAGAATATGCGTTGAGAGCATAGTCGCGAAATTTGAAAGACGCAAATAAAAAATTCAATATTTTTCGATCCTGTCTGTGGGGATAATTTTTTCACAGTTGGTTCTATGGAAGAAAGACCTTGAGATGTGTGAAACAAACATATATTCTATATTTTTCCTGTGTTGAAATCTTTTGGTTTTCTTGCAATTAACCGACTTTTTATTAATTCATTATTATCTTGATTTTGAAAGTCAGAATATTCATTATTGCTTTAAAATAATCAGCTAATCAACTAGCATTTCAGTTCTGCTGATTAGTTTACTATATGAAGTTGATGCTGAAATATATCAAGATTTTACTGAATATTCACAAGGTATGCTCCTAATACACAGATGTACCTGTTAAGATGTTATTGTCACGTTATTCCCGTGGATTTGACAATGATTGACTACACTGTACAATTAAACGAAACTTTATTTCACTGCTACATTAACGATAGGTACAACACAAATCCTTTAACTGAAACTTCAGACTAATATTCACATATATATCGACTTATTAGAACACTTCGTACCGCACTTTCAACTGAACTTCTCGATCTGCGTGTTGGTAGTGTTAATATATCATAATGGAACTTTCCTCCCCGCAGAGTCGAGTAATATAGGAATGTAGGTTTTCACGGCTGGCATCAATGTTTTGGTTGGTTTCCGGGTTTTGCCGTGGTCTTCTTTGGTTGTAATGTCCAAACGTTTAGAATTAGAAGAAAACCTCCAAATTCTATTCCTTGGTGTTATAGTCATCAAGTAAGCTAATTAACTAGGCCATAAGGTGTAGCGGAAGATAATTCGCACAGATCGATACCTACATAATGGATCCAACCATCATTCAAAACAGAAACGAACCGTCATCAGCACCCTAGTGAACAGAGCTTTGAGAATATATGAAGAAAGGTACGGCGACAACTAAATAAAACACCTAACTAATTTGTTACAAGCGAACGGCTATGACAGAAAAAACATAATCCGCGCAACACGTCCAAGGGAGGAGAAGAGAAACACCAGTGAAGATCAACCACAAGGCACTGTCTATCTGCCATACATAAAAGGTGCCACCAACCGAATTGGAAAAATTCTAAAGAAGGAGAAAACTAACACCGTCTTCAAACCAACGAAGAGAATATCGAAGTATCTGAGATCACCAAAAGACGGCAAAGATCCACTTAAATTAGCGGGAGTTAACAGGATTCCATGTAACTGTCGTAGTCTATATCGGTGAGACAAAAAGAAGCATTGGTACCCCTAGTCGAGCACAAGCGGAGTTGCGGATGTGGACAGACCGAGAAGTCTGCAGTCGCCGGACATGTTCTGTACGAACACAAGATCCTGTTCGAAAATACGGAGAAGCTAGCAACGTCGAATCATTATTCAACAAGAATGCATTCAGAAACCATAGAAATACACAAACACCAAGAAAACTTCAACTGAAAGGAAGAGAGAACATATCTACTCAAGATCTGGCACACATCATTGAAAGGTGCCAAAACGAAGCCAGGTCAACCAAATGGCGCGGAAAGTACGCGCGAACCCGGCATTACAGAAAGTGCGCAAAAAATCAGCACTATAAGTGACACGGTAGAAATGAAAGCTTCAGTTTCAGTTGACAAGTCAAGAAGAGTTGCAGTCGAAACGTTTGGGGATTATAATCAAAGAAGACTACGGCAAAACCCGGAAACCAACCAAAACATAATGGAAGTCGCTGAAAGGCGATTGGGTAGTCTTTGGGAGGCGATAGGAAAGTCTCCGGAAGTCTCTCGAAGCGACGCGACAATCTAGAACGATCGCGAAGCGCAAGTCGAATTGAACGCGACCTTGGTCAAATCACAATCGATTGATGCAAACCAGCGGCGGCCAGCGTTATTTTTTAGGGGATAATTTACAACAATATGTTAATAAATATTCGATTTGCAATAAAAAAGAGCAAAATTCTTGCTGAGAATTGATGAATAACCAACATGATTGGCGTAAAACAGTAGGGTGTGGTGAACGTCTGTCAAAAAACAACTACTTCCCCGGCTACTACCAAGCTGGATATTCAATTATATGCGACAGACATTTATAAAGATTCCTTAGAGAGACTAGTCTCGCAGATGTTTCTCGTCCATCCGGCAGCAGAACCATGTTGAAATTATTCAAGTAGATCACCTGCAGACCGCGGTTTCGGGGTATTATTTCTCGTCAGTACAGAAAAGATCCTACCCAGAAGCAGATTAATTTCAATATGGCTTTACTACATATATGAAACCTTCATCTGAGAGAAATATTGTTAGCTAGTAACAACTCCATCCCGTGAACAATTAGACCTTATAAAAACTTCAATTTTTTGATAAAAGTTTTCGAAAAAGTGAAACGAGTTCTGCTTTTCAATAATTGAAGTTAATCATCATTTAGATCATTATCATCATTATTGTGACAGAATACTAGTTATGATATATATTTCTTTGAAATAAAACAACTGTGAAGTTTCAGAAAAAAAGCGTTAGTAAGAAGAATGATAAAAATGAAATTTTTTGGGAAACAAAAGTGTCGATGAAAGCAATCAATCTTCCACCATAAGATAACGCAGATTTGAAGGACAACTCTAGGCTATATTTGGAATCATCAATTTCTGGAATAAAAGCATCGCTTTCGGTTTTATTGCCATTTAAAGAGATTTATGACGATGAGACGGGTTATAAGTAAGTTATCGATTAGATGATTTATTGAACTGTGGACGTTTTCATTGTTTCCGTCATATCAATCACTGATAGTTGATGATAGAGTTTAGCAGTTCATAAACTTGGAATCGACGTTTACACTGTGCATTTGAGAATGAGAGTAGTTTCTCCCAGTTCATCTTAATAAATTTTAACTAGAGCATTGTCATATTAGAACGTGATGAAAATATACCCCTTCTGCATCGGTAGAAAGTATCCAAAAGTTCATTAACGATTTCTCAAACATCACATCTAGGCTGTTGATGTCGATGTGCGGAAAAACGCTGGCAAAGTGTATTATGTCTGAGGGGTACTATTTTGAAGGGAACAACATACGAATAAATAAATATAAATGAATATTTTTTGAGAAATATGACAATTTACTTAATTTTTTGAACAGACAGCGTATATTTGAAATGAGTGGAATTTTCTAAATTATATATGAAATAAACTGTTCTGGTGTTTCACAACAATCTTGAAGTTGTCCCCCGTTAACGGATGAACAACTTTCTCATCCATCCCACCCCAGCCAGGTAGGGGTATCCCGTGAAGGGCGGCACTGATGTCTAAGGACTACATGCCGTCATACCATCAGTCATGAACCCATTGGTCCTTCTTGAGACCAATAATCAGCCGAAAGGGTAGGGGAGCTGGACTCCAAACCTGAACAATCTTGAAAATGAACACCACTCGCGTTGACAAAAGTCAAAAAACATTCACGAAAAAATGACGACGATCAACAATTTTAAAAAACAATTAAAAAATAATCACTGTTGACGAGATCACCCCAAAGAAACACCACTGTGTTCAAGTTGGCTAACTAACCCATTAACTATGAATCCCAGACTCCCAGGAAAAAGCTTCATCAAGAGCAGTGATGAACGACAAAGGCAGTCTCGATATATCCACGTGAACCCAAGGAATAAAAAAAGAAGCTAATCGAATTGTATTGAATATCGAAGGCCACGATGAAATATGTGATTTCGGTCTACCTTTGCGGGAACCTTTTTTCGCTCGATCGGGTCGTATGTTATAACCTTCAGATAAATATCGGGGAGAATTTCGAATCTGATCCATTTCACATTGGGATCGAATGGAAAATTGGTAGATACGATTATGCAAATTTCTTCAGAAAAAATGGAGCATGTGAGATTCATAAGAAATGTTGGTTAATAATTTCTTTACGTAAATAGGGATTATCTGATGGATGTACATAAGAAAAACATTGTGTATTACCAGGATTCGAAGAAAAGTATTAATAACTCAGATTTCAGAAAAAATTAAGATATAGATTATTACTGAACCCAATTTGATCATGGTTGAAAAATAGGGACTTCCCTATTTGTTTGTTACGGAGTCACGCGGAAACTACTTGTTGCAATTCAATAAAGCATATTTTGAAATTTCGAAACTACATCGTATGTAATATATTTTAAAAAATTGATAATCCCAGCCCAGCATTAAAATAAAGTTCTCATATTGTTCATTTCTATTGTACTGACACTTAGAGACAAAACACACGGAGCGGTTTCTGGCGAGTCGGCGCCGACTCGGCAGAGAAGCGGCTCAAAACACATGAGGCGTCACCGCAGCTTACGACCGACACGTTTTTATCGAGACATCTTTCGCAGTTGTCTAGTTGTGTCTGAGTGGTTCGCATCGTTGGCATAAAATATGAATTCTTCTGACAGTGATGATGATTTGCTTTTTCTAATAACTGCAGGCTTATTATATAACAAAATTAAGAAAAAAAAAAAGAAACGCAAATATTGGATACATCCCATAATAAATGAGAGGAAAAATAGAGGATTTTTTTACACACTGTATGACGAACTTAACGGAGATCCAGATAAATTCTTTAATTTTACCAGAATGTCAAGAGGAACATTCCAAGAATTGTTGTCAATAATTAAAGATTCATGTTCAAAAAGAAATACCACCATGAGGGAAAGCATACCAGTAGAAGAAAAGCTTCTTATAACTTCAAGGTAAGATAAATAAATAAAATCTAAAAAAATATTTTCATTCTTAAAAAAGTATTATATTATCATGTTTATTAGCAAAATAGCATTTGAAATAATTGGGTTATATCCGTATCTTGGGAATACGAGCTTCCAGGCGACATCAAAGGGGATTCAGTACTCTGCCGCTGAATCCCAGAAGGCCCAGCTTGGGGCTCTTGTTGTGAAGGACTTTGGTTGAAGTCTAGAAGTCCGGAAGGTCCAGCATGTGGATTTAAATATTGCCATTGATGTAGTATTCCAAATTGGTGGCTTGGAGCCTGGGTGGGAATTTGGTTATACGGTAATTGTGGTGAGTATACAGAGGGGGCTGGTGACTGTATGGGATTATATTTATTTATGCTTTGCATAATGTCCATTCTCGCAGCAAATTTAAAGTGTGGAGGAATGGATTTCATAAAAGGCACTAATGATAACAAAAATAATCTATCGTCGTCTTCTTCAGAATTTACTGCTTGTGCTTTTTGTTTTTGACGAATACTATGATTCACAAGTTTTTTTTCCAATGTGTTTCCTTTTCTTTTTTTGGCGACATGAACAGTAGGAGAGTTATCATGTATTGTAGCAGGACTTTCTGACGCAGATTCACCCTGACTGTTTGGTGATAGAGGAGCCCCATCATCCATAGATGTATCTGTGGGGCGACGTTGGATTACATCTGACAAAGAGCCCAATTGGTTGGCGTACATATAGGAACTTTTGACTTTTCGTCCTTGTCCTGACTTTCCTTTATTTTCTTTAAGTTCTCTGGCGTACCCATCCCTTATGTTTTTCCATTTTTTTTTAAGCAAAATGCCTGAAAAAAAGCTTTATTTGATAAGTGCCCTTTTATTTCAGGTACCTAGCTACTGGCAATTCATTTGTCGATTTGCACTATGCTTTTAGAATTGGAAAATCCACAGCAAGTTTAGTCACCCAAGAATTTTGTGAAGCTATATGGACACATGCTAGACATATCACTTTTCCGTACTACTATTTATTCGTTATCTCCCAAACAAATAAACATTTTTTATTCAAACTTTGTACACTTAGTCATAATATAATCCAGACAGAACCCCATAACTACGCCATTGCTTTTCCAAGGAAAATTTTTGGAACATCAAAAAATTGGTCTTTTATTATGACTAAAATTTAAATAAAAAATCTGTACTTATTTGGGAGATAATAAATAAATATTGATATTTTTTTAAAAGTTCAACACCCTGTATTTCGAAAACGAGGCGTTTAGAGAAAAATATTATAGAAAATACTTTTATTACTTTGATATGTTCTATCGTTTACTGAAGTTATGAACGAACAAACTGAAACACCCTGTATAATTTAGTTTTCATGTAATTACCCATTTGTCTTTTCTCCTCCACTGCAGCAAAGGCGTTGGTTACCTCTTCCCAAGAACTTTTCTTTTTTATTTTGTTGGAATAATCCTCTGAACGCATATCCCAAATCGCTGGTCTAATATGAATCTCATTGATTAATTTCTCAACGTCCAAAGTTTCCATACTGGTCTGACAACGCCGAGTTACTTGTTAATAACAAAAACCGCCACAAAACCGCTTACGTGTGTTTAGTCCCATAAGCAAACATGTACTGATGTGCCGACTACAGTCGTAAACCCGCGCGCGGTGCATGATGGCCAGCAGGATACGCGCTGCCACCGCCATCACGAACCGCGCGTTGACGCACCGTCTGTTTCATTCAATAGAACTGCCATAAAGGATGCACCGCTTCGGCAGCCGAGTCGGCTGCCGACTCGGCAGAAACCGCTCCGTGTGTTTTAGTACTTATTTAATGGCATAAATGCGAGCGAAGCCGCGAGTAAAAGCTAGTATCGTAATAAATTCAGAATAAAACTAATGAAATGTAATTGGGCTATACCTATTTGATCCATGACAATCCAATTCATTGGGAAATTTCAACTTTCATGGTCATTCAGCATTTGAACAATATGTAGTTTCATTAAAATTGTGTATAAGTAAAATTTATCATATTACCTCGAAAATAACTGAAAATTGCAAACACAATCACTGGATATTTAGACTATACAGTAATTAAAATGTCTCTTCAAGTTTATTTTGCATAGATCTATATCTTTCATCAACAGAGTATTCTATTCCAGACGATCCACTTAAAGCAGCTCTAAATATTTTTTATATATTTTGAGTGAGGTTGTTATAAAGCAAACATTTAATTCATATTGAATTGAATTACATCGTTTGAAAATGCTTTCAGACAAATGTCCAGCATATAATAATTTAAAAACGGTATTTAGAGGTGAAATGCAATAATTCAATATGAGTGATTTCAAAATGAATCAATTTGCACAATCCATTTGACATATAAATGCTTGTTGCGAGATTTACCTGTTTTATAAAATGCTAAATTTTGTTTTTTTTTAATTACTCGAGTCAACTTCATTTTATCACTCAAATTATATAATCACTCACCTGACCCACCTAAGTCACTCGAAAATTATGTCTTAAAAATATGTGAGAGAATACTGGAAGGAAAAGGCTACTCTACTTCTTTGAGGAATATTTTGAGGATCAGCTGTCCATGATACCCTCCACTTTGATTTCAATCGATATATTGTAATTTATTATACCTTTTTACGCTCTTGAAATGTCTTAAGAAGTTTCCTGTAGTGCTTGTGTTTTGTCTTTAAAAAAATATTATATTTTATTTTTCATTTATGTCCCATTCAAGTGATGTGTTCATTATCTTTCAGAATATGTAACTAGGAGGTATCGTGGTGGCCGTGGTAGTGGACGAACGTGCTGATAACGTCAGTCCACAAAGAAGGTACGCGGATGCCATGTGTATCGTGGGGCTCCGTTTTGTGTTGTGTTGTGCTAGTCCTTGTAATAAATACTGAAATGTGTGAGAGTTTTTAAAAAAAGTGAAGTTTAAGGGCCCCTTTATTCACGCCGGTATCCAGGCCGGGGTGGTCGGATAACCACGTAAAGGGGTCATATATAGGTGATAATAATGATTATTTTTATTTATTATTGTACTTAGTTGTACACCATCTATATTAAAAGTGATTTTACATGTATTATTTAGGTACTATTAATTTCTCGCTCGGCGAATCATAACTAGTGTGTAGTCCACTTCGAGGTGGGTCGACAAAGCAGCACAAGCATATCACATGCTTAGGTAATGTCGCCCCACTCGAAATGGAAATTTATTGTTTACAAATATTGTACTATAAAATTGCACTGTACCCAATCTGAATTTATACATTATACATTATACATTTGCCCATTCAAATATTAATATAGGTGAATTCAAAAATCAGAAGGTCTCCCGAAGAGGAGGCGACCCAATAAATATATATGTTAAAAATCAAGGTATCCATCAGGAGGCGACAGTAAAAAAGCACTACGTTTTTTATTATAAAAAGTGTGACAAAAAAGGGGTGGCAGCATTATTTCGAGCAAGATCGCTGCGCCCCTCCCGACGAAGCTTCGGTCAAATTGATGTCAATTTGATAGGCGGATTCTGGACAAATGCGCTCGAATGGGAAGCAATGTCCATAAAATTAGAGAGAGAGAGAGAATTTGTAACTACTGCATTAATATAATTTCGGGTATATTGACAAATTAAATACTTGTTATTGCAAGTCTTATGAATGATAAATGATTTGATTGGAGTATCTTATGAATTTTGTAATGTAATGAACTGTTGAGTTTGATGGAAGTTCATTCGCTTGTTTTGAAATCATATAATTCAGGTTTGTCATTGAAAAAGTAATTTTACAATTATTTTCAAGTTACTATGGTGTAATAAACCGAAACGGCATAGCAAATAATAAACTTAGTAGAAATTAGACAAAAGTTATTTTCTTTATTCTATATTCAATATGAATTTCTACAAAATAAATAAGTCATCAATAGAAGTTTGGGAGTTCGCCATAGTGGATTCAAAGAAACGTCATTTTACACTCCATATTATTTCCAGCAAACCTTTTCATTCGATACCTATATCATGACACTGAATAAAAAAACAGTGTGGTATTTTGAATAATCCGACATATTGGATTCAGAATGATGTCATGTTTTGTATTCTTTTCCGCAGACTCTTTCATTTGACAGCCAAATCATGGGAGTGCTGAGAAAAAAATAGTCCGCCATCTTGGGCGGTCCACCATATTGGATTTAGAGTGATTATTTTGACGCCGCCATTTTCCATAGCCAAACCCCATTATGCGGTATTGTGTATTGAGATCACTATCACTTCATATTGAAAATGTTAGGTAACCGGTATTTCATAATGTATACAGAGGATTCATTTGTGAATATAATCTCAGAGAGTCTTCTTTTTCTGGTAAGAAAATAGTTGCCAAGTCGCACTTTGGCGACACCGAAGACCTCAAGAATTCATTGTACTTCAGATTGTTTCCATTTATTGTGTATCAAGAGGCTTGGAAAATGACCATGAATGATGTTTCCCCTGTCTCCACAAACTCCTGCGGTAACGATAAGATATTTGAGAATTTCTGAAAAATTTCTTCTCTGAGGCTGGGGTTTGCAGTGAATAGTAAGATAATTCCACTTTTACTTATCGAAGCAGAAAGCGGAATAATTGTCTGTCCTGGCATTATTATATCTGGTTCGAAGACATTTATATTTTTGGAGAAAACCTATGCCTGAGTTTTCGTGGCATTGAATGGAACCTGGTTACTTTCACCCCAATTTGAAATCACCTCTACATCCTCATCAAGATATGCAACCTCCTGCTGTTGGTGAATATGTCAGAAAAGCATTATGTTGGATTCTTTGTTTTTTCCAGTAAGTCGTTGGTATACAATGAAAAGAGGTTGGAGACAATACGGATCCATCGACGGCCATTTGCAGGAAACGATCTTTCAGGAAGCTGATGAGTCATGTACAAAAATGATCCGACAAGCCATAGCATCGAAGTTTGGTCAACAAACCCTCATGCCACACACGGTCAAAGGCCTCAGAAATATCAAGCGCAACACCTCCTCCCGTTTTCCTCCCCGTTTATCTCTTGAATGATTGATCTTAGCGAAAAATTTTTAAGGTTTTTTTTGTGAACGTTTCAATTTTATACAGTTCATTTTACTGTAGGTATGGACATTTTTTCGTCAGATTCCGAAGTTTACGAGTTATTTACAAAAATCTTAAAAAGAAGACTCTAGAGACTTTTACTCCTCGAAGCTTCATCTTTCCCCTCAGTACCTATGTTTGGTATGTTGCTCAGGTTTTACCTACATCTGTACCAATTTTGACTTCTAAACTATTTATTTAACTGATTTGATATTCGTTGTTCAAACTATTAATATATTCGTGAGTTTAGTGAACAGCTTGTCAAACTAATACTTTTTTTACTGAAAAAGTAGGAAAAATAGTTATTGCAGTTGTTGAAAATATATGTGAGAGAAAGAATATTCCTCGAGGCTGTATTTTTCTACGCACACCTCCTAAATACACCACTTTACCACCTACGAACCATTTACAGAACAAAAGAGAGTATAAAAGGGAGAGACATCAACGTCTGAGGCACAATGGATTCTAATTAATATAACATAATCCTGAGATGATATCTGCAAACGATTTCTAGTGCAGCTATACAGCATTTCCTTTGTCCCCACGTCGTCTCCTATGATATTAAACAGTTACTCTGAGAGACGGTACATCTTCTTGAAATTCACTCTTTGATAATGAAACGATCTCAATCGGAGATTCTCTTGGTACGATACAATTGAAATATTCTGTATTGTCAGAGACATTTGGACCGTTACATTTTGATTGCATTGAGAAATTTGGGACGACTCGAAAGTAAAACAGAAGGAGAAATGAAATGTTCGCTTTGTTCTTTGTTACAGTTGGAGAGAATGTTTTTTTGTGGGTAAGCGCATCAAAAGTTTGATGGTGATTCTAACTAATCACTCGTT